TTTTTTTAATTGTATCCTTTGGTATATATGGTTGTGACTATTTTCTTCCACTATTTGATCTGAGGAAGTGGGTCTGGCCCACGAACGCTCATCATCTAATAAACCATCTTGTTAGTCTTTAAAGTGCTACATAGCCCTGTATTTTGGTCCCAAAAACAGATCCCTGTGGAACCCCACTTGTTATACCTTTCCAGTAGGATTGTGAACCATTAATAACTACTCTCTGAGCATGGTTATCCAGCCAGTTATGCACCCACCTTATAGTAGCCCCATCTAAGTTGTATTTGCCTAGTTTATTGATAAGAATATCATGTGAGACCGTATCAAATGCCTTACTAAAGTCTAGGTATACCACATCCACCGCTTCTCCCTTATCCACAAGACTCGTTATCCTATCAAACAAAGCTATCAGATTGGTTTGACATGTTTTGTAGCCTCTAAAGCTTGGGCTATAAAGCCAGTTGGCTCTCAGCTTAGGCTGTAGAACTCCCTTGTTCTTATCTGTTGTTATACTTGGTCTAAGTGACACTACAGGAGACAGTGAACCACTCTAGGTGTGTGGGTTGCACTTGCTCCACCACAACCCTACAGCCTCTGCCTGCCTCTGAGCTCCTGACTCCAGCCTTTGGCCTGCCTCTTAGCCACACTTGCAGTTCTGCTCCCTGGGTCTGCTAGGGTTGCCAGACAGTTTCAACAAAAATGCCAGACACGCTTGACATTACATCACAATCTACATTACATCTTATTTAGAAAATATCAGACATTTATATTTTCTCACTTATATTTTCTCAATTTGTTTGCCGAACAGAAAGCTAAAATACTGGACTGTCCAGTTCAAAACCGGACACCTGTCAACCCTAGCTGTCTACACAGCTCCTTTTTGCACAAAACCCTCTTGCACAAAAACAACTGCTAATTAATTATGCAAATGAAACACGGTGATATTCCATTACATGCTTCATTTGCATAAACTTTTCTAGAAGAAGGCTACAGTGTAGACGTAGCCTAAATTGCTCCACTTACAACGGATTGGTGAACACCACTGAACTGCTGTATGACCTTGACCTAGTCACTTCACCTTTCTCTATTTCCTTTCCTGCCTTTTGCCTTGTCTATTTAGAATAAAAGCTGATGCGATCAGTGGCTGTCAACAAAGGGGCTGCTGCTCTGATGTATCTAGTGTTACCAGCTTTTGTGAGTCTTACATCTGTTGCTTTTCTTACAGCCCCACTTCCTGGAATCTTATGGTTTTAAGATTCTCAATTTCTATTTTAAAATACTAAGTTTTGGCCCTCACAGTCATGGAGAACACTTGAAAATGTCTGCACAGGAGGCCCAGAAGCCAGACAGCAACTAAGGAACCCAAATATATATTTTTAAAAGAGCAGACTCGTTTATAACTCTTTGGGGTTGGCAATGTCCAGACAGAATAAATGCAACTGAAATACAAATAAATACCAGTGGACAGTAAGAATGCTCAGGTTCCAGAGGCACTAAGCAAATTACCATGTTTTAATAGCATGGAAATATAGTTAACTTGCCAGGAGTTGCATAATATCACAGCATATTTTGTTTACAGACACCACTATTCAAAGAAATATTTTTAGCCCTGTTTATCACATTGCCTGGGTGCTCTGCGAACCTGAGCTTGCTGAGAAGCCTGAATCAGCACTTATCACCCCCTTGCTTATAAATTGTCTTGATGCAAATTAAGTCAGATGTGCGGTCATTCTTTTGTACAATTTCAGTGTCTGGAGATATCTTGTCTATGCTGCAAGTGCAAGGGAAGTGCAAAGAGCCTGTGCACTCCACAGGAGAGCTCGCTTTGCTAGGAAACAGTACTATGATTTTGCTCAGACTGATTCACTCTTACCTCTGATTGGTCACTTTCCTTTTACCACTGACATCATCCTGTTGCTGGGTGGAAGGCTTCTGAAGCACAGCAGTTGAAACTGTTTTCAGCTAGTTGGGAAGATGACTTGCTCTCTAGCCATGTTTTCCCAGCAAAACCAGAGTACTTCACACATACACACTTTGACATTTGTTGGCAAACTGTGACTTCTCAAACTTAAAATGATTCAGTTGTTGCCGTTAGCTTGGTAGCTCCCCCTTCGCCCTCCAGAAAAATACAAGCAAATACATTCAAATATTACCTTTGTAAATCAGCCATTTCTCTTTGAATGTAGAGATGTTACATAAGGAGCAGCTGTGCTCTCCTGAGCTGAGAAAAGGACTGGGAATATGGTGAGCTGGAATCTATTGTTGATTCTGCCATTGAATTGCTTTGTGATCTTTGACAAACCACATTATGCCTAATCTACCCTGTCTGTAAAATGAGAATAATAATTAGTATGTGTCAATTATATTACAGTAGCAACTGAAAGTCTTAACCTAAATCAGGTCCCTAGCTGCTGTATAAACATAGTTTGAAACAGTCCCTGCACTGAAGAGCTCACAGTTTAAAGATTCCCTGTTCCACAGAGTAGGAACTGAGGACAGGAAGACCAAGTGACTTGCCTACAGTCACATTGGAAGCCTGAGGCAAAGTCAAGAAATGAGCCCAGATTTCCTGAATCTCAGATTAGTGCTATAATCATAAAACTGTCCTTATCTAACTTGGCACCCCTCCCCCCACTGGTAAAATCCCCCAAGGTGCACTGTATAGTGCTGGGGGTAAGTCTATCTTTTGTCAAGGTCCAAATTTCTTGGTAAACCTATAGCCAAGTTCCAGACTCCAGAGAAAACAATAATAATAAGTAAATAAAAATATTTTTGGGGCCATTCAAAAACATCTGGAAGTCAGGATTTGGTCTTCAGTCTACCTATTGACTTCCTCTGATATAGTCTTTTTCACTCCTCTAAAGACAAAGTATTGTTACATTAGAAATCACTGCCCTTATTCATTGTTGGTGTAAGCAAGTGCAACTCCATTCACTTGGAAAGTGTTACATCCACTCATACTAGAGAAGAATTTGGCCCAATACTTTATGGCTACATCTACACTGCAGAGTTTTTACTCAAAACTGGCCATTTTTGCGTAAAAACTCACGAAGTGTCCACACTGCAAGCGTGTTCTTTCTCAAGAAAAAGTACAGTAAATTGTAAGAACACAGAGCTTTTTGAACAGGAGTTATTCCTCTTTCTACGGGGAATAAGCCTTTTTGCACAAGAGCTCTTGCGCAAAAAGGTAAGTATGGATGGGCTTCAGGAGTTTCTTGCGCAAGAAACTCCTATGACTAAAATGGCCATCAGAGCTTTCTTGCGCAAGAGAGCGTCCACACTATCATGGACGCTCTTGCGCAAAAGCACATCTCTTGCGCAAAAGCACATGGCAGTGTAGACGTGCTCTTGCACAAGAACTTTTTGCACAAGAACTCTTGCACAAAAGTTCTTGTGCAAGAAGCCTGCAGTGTAGACGTAGCCTATGAGTTTGCCTATTTACTTTAGTGTGCCTTACCAAGGCTATGTCTAGACTGCAAGCCTTTTTCGAAAGAGGCTCTTTCGAAAGATACTTTCGAAAGAGCCTCTTTCGAAAGAGAGCGTCTAGACTGCACGCGGAACTTTCAAAAGAGCAAGCCGCTTTTTTGAAAGAAAGCACCCAGTGAGTCTGGATGCTCTCTTTCGAAGAAGCCCTATTTACATTCAAGAACGCCTTCTTTCGAAAGAAGCACTTTCGAAAGAAGGCGTTCTTCCTCGTGAAATGAGGTTTACCGCCGTCGAAAGAAAAGCCGCATTCTTTCGATTTAATTTCGAAAGAACGCGGCTGCAGTCTAGACGCAGGTGAAGTTTTTTCGGAAAAAGGCTACTTTTCCCGAAAAAACCCCTGAGTCTGGACACAGCCCAATGGTAGTACAAAGATGCCCATTGAAGTTCCACAGTTATGATAGCCCCTTTATTCCTTAGGCTCTGGTTTCCCCTGGTATGCTTGTGGCACACAACAGTTCAGTCTCTGAGGACAAATACTTCAGCTAAGTGGTTTTCAACCTGTTTTCCTTGTGGATCCCTAAAACATTTCAAATGGAGGTGCAGACCCCTTTGCAATTCTTAGTCTATAGGCCCACAGGGGTCTACAGGTTGAAAGCCACTCTTTTAGTCTAATTCAAGTTACTGGGTTCAATATGGGGTGGGCAAAATTAAATAGTCTGATATAAAGGATATCAGAATTGTTGGGAAAACAGACTCTTTTGGTTTTAACATTGACAAAGTTGCCTGTTCAAAAGCTTCGAAGGAGTAGTTGAGTTAGTCTGTAACTGGAAAAATTTAAAAAACAACAAATAGTCTAGCAGCACATTAAAAGACTAACAAAACATGTAGATGGTATCATGAGTTTTTGAGGGCATAACCCACTTCTTCAGATGACTGGAATATTAAAAGTTCAGATCCAAGAATAAATAAGGGAAGGAGGTGGGGTAAGAGAAGGGGGATAGTGAATAAGATTGTTCAAGTTACAAGAAGCTGATAAGAACATTTTGCACCTCTTTAAGTACCCATTGTTTGATTGGTTAAGTCCTTAGGATGTGGAAGGTAGTGTGCTAGCCAGCCAATGTCTTTATTCATTCCTCTCTAATAGGAATAGCCTGTGTAACTGTTCAGGTGTTTATAACCTGGGAGCATATACTCGTTTACTTTAAAGTATTGGTTTTCTGTACAAAGATGATTACAAATAATCTCAAGTAAAATTATACAAATTAATATATTTCTGTGGTTTAAAGTTTGGAGGCCTCTCCCACCCCAGCCCAAGAACCATCACAGGAAAGAGGATGTCTGATGAGTGTTTTGTGCAGAAGAAGCTCTGAGCTGTAGCCCTGCTTCTTCAGCCACCATGCCTGCAGGTGAGAAGGCCATGTTACAGCTCTAACTCAGCGCTCAATATATACTGGTGTATCTGCCTGCCTCTCCCAACAAACAGGTACGTGCAATGGGTGCATCATGACAATGCAGGCAGCTTACTTCAGTGAAATATCTGATGCCACGAATTCTTTCTGCTGAGCTCAACTCCACCTATTATTGTCACAATTTCCACAGCTATGATGCCACCATGCTACCACACACGCATACGCACACACACAATTCCCAGACCATACTTCCCCATCTCTGCCCATTCCCAGGGCTCACTCAGCCAGATCACAGTTCCTAAAGATGTTCAGATCTGCTTTTCCTGTGGCATCTGCTAACCCAGGCACCATTCCTCCACTCACAACACTTCATGGCACAAGCCACTGTGGGTATGTCTACACTAGAAAGTTAGTTCGAACTAACGGACGTTAGTTCGAACTAACTTTCCTAGGCGCTACACTAGCGCTCCGTTAGTTCGAACTTAATTCGAACTAACGGAGCGCTTAGTTCGAACTAGGTAAACCTCATTTTACGAGGACTAACGCCTAGTTCGAACTAGCTAGTTCGAACTAAGGGCTGTGTAGCCCTTTAGTTCGAACTAGTGGGAGGCTAAGGCTTCCCAGGTTTCCCTGGTGGCCACTCTGGCCAACACCAGGGAAACTCTATGCCCCCCTCCCGGCCCCGGACCCCTTAAAGGGGCACGGGCTGGCTACGGTGCCCGTGCCAGGTGCAAGCCTGCCAGCACCCAGCT